CAAGCCCACCCACCTCTTCGGTTCTTTCTTATTCATCTCTTTTTCTCATAATGCAACCCCCACATCTCTTTCTTTCTTTAAACTGTGCCCTTTTCAAACTGCACTCTTCACACCCTTATAGTGAGCATTTCTCCTTATGTTCCCTACTTGCATCATGATCCACCAAAGCCATGGATCATTTAGAAAGCAGGCGTTTTATTTAGTCTCCTTGTGCATTCAGCTACCTGTCTTTCTTCCCGGGCATCCTACTGTCTTGCTGCTCTTTCACTGTTGGCCTAATTGTCTTCTCAATACTTGTGCCAAATCTAGTCTATCTGCATCTAGTCTGACTGTTTGTCTCCGTGGCTGCTATTTCCTAATTACAAATGTCCCTGTCTGAGTATGAGTTTCTTGTATAGTCCACCGGATGTGGTCTGGTCCACTGTGTCCCTGTCTAGACACATGAGCGGTGATCCTCATTCACGGCGTATGTGCAATTCTCCTCTCTACTAATGCCTGCTATTTTTTACTGCCAGAGCCATTTACACCTCCAGCTTGGTGACTTGCAAACGTAAGCACTTCCAATCCATTTTCATTTAGAGATTAAATTAAATGAATATCCAAAAATGTCATCATGTGATAGCAGGTGTAATGCCATTCATCACTGCTCATGACACGCTATTTCCGTTTCAATGTCTTTCTAATGCTGGCAGCCGCTTTGCGAAGATGCAACACTACGTGTCTTACCTTTTTGTTCCGAAGAAAACTCATTTTCAACAACAAAGGATTAAGCATTTCTTTAGGATTTGCTAATATGGAGAAAACTATTTTAAAATCATTCAGTTATCTAAAAATAACTCTTCCAACGCTTATGGGGGCAAAGAATCCGTAGAATCTGTATTTCTCTTTCTCCCAGGGTTAATAGTCTTCTACGGTGTGTAAAACAAGAGTAAGTGAAAAGAATACACTTTAAAACAAGACACTACCACAGATCCTCCAGTGGACACTGGAATCCACAGTGGGCATGTCGCACAGCCGTCACGCAACTTTCGATAAGACGCCCCGGGCGAGTCCCCTTAGTGAGCTACAGCTTTACTGTTCCTCCCTCTGCCCTTCACCTCATTGATTTACTATTATGCTTTCTCCAAGGTAAGGAAGAGTCTATTAAAGGGAACCTTCCATGCAATGTGTATGCATAATGAAAGCTTCCCGTATGGGCTTCCGTTGTGCACTTTTGTTTGGGAGCGGATGGAAACGGTTTCCCTTACATCTGCACTTGTATGGCCATGAATCAGTGGCAAGTCAACTGTTAATGCAAAATCAATGTTCCAAATTAACCACGGGACCCTGATCTCTGGAATTCCAGCCTTTTTCTTGACAAGACATGCCCTTGGGATAAGAGAGGGAGAACACACAGGCTGCACAATTGAACATTATAGAATTATACTTGGACACACACACACATCAGACCGGAACAGTTCGAATACATAGAAAGATACAAGCATTTGCAGACACAAGCACACGTAACTTTGCTCATGGAGAAAAAAAAACTCCACACCCCCCCAGGCTCAGGCTTGTTCGCATAATGCATGCGTAACACAGCACCCAGTGAAAGAGCACAAATCGGTCTCCCTGTCTAATTCGGATAGTGCTGCATCTTTTAATGTTAAGGAAAGGTATCCAGCTTAAGGCGGCCGCTGATAAGGTCAAAGGCGTAGCAAACACATTCCAACACTCATTTCTCCCCTAACATAATTGCACTCACTCTTGACAAAAATCTGCATAATGTTCCATGTATAGCTGCTAGCCAAAATGAAAGAATGAGGCGTGAAAAGGGAAGGATGGGGAGGGGACTGCAGCCAGCGGCATATCCCTCAAAGTCACAGCCAAATTGAATCTGCAGGTGCAAATATGGCATGTGTGTTGCCTCTAAGATGCGCAGCTATCTATATTTATATGAATAAAATATGGCTGGTCAAGGGGCCACAAGCCTGTAGGGAATAAGTTCCTACGGCAGACAAAATCAATCATTATATGCCACTGAAATGCATTCATCGCTGGCTTGGATCTCTTTAGTATGATTTCATGGGGTTTGATACGGGCATTGTCTGTTTTCACTCTCTGCTACTCCTCCTCAGCTAAAGCAGATCCAACATATGGTACTTTCAAACCCTGGCTTTGTGTCCATTCTCAAAGTCTTCGTGCTATGAAGACTGATTTGCACATTGCTGTATTTATATGTTTGTGTATGTACAAAGGCCATTTTTGTATGTCCATGCGTGCAGAATCTATGCTTAAGTGGCTGCCGCTTCGTCAATGCATGAACACTTGGATTTGTCTCTTGATACAGCCTCTACAAAGCTTTTCATTAGTGCACTGAGAGCCTATACGTATCAATCTGAATGCAGAACAGATGGGCGGCACAGCAGTAGCCCTTTTTTGTGCTCCTTCTTCTCCGCCCATGTTTGAAATTGCAACATGTCTAACTCTGATATGAATCTGCAGAATGGAAGATTAATTAGTAATGAATAACTTTTGGATGTTTTTTGTTGTTGTGAGAGTCGGCATCTTCAGTCTTGATCTGTGTCGATTCTTACCTGACGCCTCACTATTATTAGGTTTTTTTTTCTTTTCCTTTTTGTAAAAGCAGCTTGGTTCTGTCGCCACATTGTGCATACGGAGGTGTATGCTAGCTTAATACTTAAAATGCTAATGTAAAAGCTAATGTCATCGGATACAAAAGAGCTGTCCCATCCCATTCTGACCTTTTGATATGGACCGAACAGCAAAATGTCAGGCATGCTGCCATCAAACCATGTTTTCATCTGCAGCTTTTTTTTAATTTTAATGCATCCACCAGATCCATAAAAATCAAAATTAAACGCACAGCCCAATTGCCCCTCTTGTTCCCTTTGCCCTCTGTCGGTGCGTATTCTTTTTTTCAATGGATGCCTGTGTTTGTTTGGGAACGGGATGCTATCAGAGAGCCTATGTGCTCGGCTGCACAGGCTGATCCCCTGCAGCAGTCTTCTGAATATGTTTACATGCATTTCACTCGAGAGCCTCGATAGATCCCGAGGCCTCTTGTTACCGACATTATGGAAAAAGATCGTTAAGAGTCATTTGATTTCTGATGGCACAATATCGCTGTCTTCCTGAACTCTCCGTTGACTCTGAACCGGCTGTATCTTTTGATACCCTTACCTTCCTGCTCTCGCTTCACAGGAACCTGCTGCCCCCTGTTTTGTATGAAGCACCCACAGTGTGCTGCCTATAATGCTCTCCGAGTCTCCACAAGGCCACTGCAGGCTCACACACACACACACACACAAACACAAACACTGTTTCACACGCGGATCAATAGGCAATTCGCAAAGCCACTCACTTTAAGTGTATGACTTAGTGTGGCCATGTAATATTGATTTGTTTTGAACAAATGTGCCCAAATTAACAAAGCCACCCATTACTGCTTTGGTTGAGTGTTTTTTATCACAGGGGGGAGGAACGTGGCAACGTGGCTACAACGCTATGATAGAAGCCTTAATAATGAACCCCTCACGCCGTTTCAAGCTGTTTTTTGCATGTAATAAAATGAAATCACCCCCATTTGGTGTCAGCGGGGGAAGAAAACTACATGAACATTTGTGCCGGAGGATCACTTGTGAAACTCCGACTATTCAAATATTAGAGAAGCGACGTGCGGCCTTGGCTCAGCAGGTGGTCACATAATTCGGAGCGAGAACAAAACATAGTGTGTGGGCTGAGGTTTTTCTCAGCGTGGCGCAGCATCCGATGTGGGAGCCCGGTCGCTCATCTGGCATTTGACTGGGGGTTTTCATACTGAGAAGTTGCTTCGGGTGAGTCATTCGCACTGTGGAGGGCAAAATCTATTGTATCCATCAGCGGGAACAAGCACACACCGACGCATGCACGCAGTCAGATCCCCCCCTCCCCAGTCTCTGAATCACATTGGTCATTATCAGGCAGTATCTTTTCATCTGCCTTTGAAATATTCATGAGTAATACATCTGGCTGAATGACCTACAATTTGGACATTGGGGAGGGCGCGATGGACGAGGTGGAAGGGAGCGCGGGCGTGTGTGTGTGTGTGTGTGTGTGCGCGCGCGTGTGTGTGTTGGGGGGGGGCAGGCAGGCAGAGAAGCGCTCCAATGCAGTTGCGGGAATAGTGAATACCTTCCCCCTTGTTCCGTCGCTCTCCGGTGGGGTCCTCGGATGTGTGCGATGCTCGGACGCACACGAGCGGGTGAAGCGACGGTGGTCAAAGCGCTCGCGCTGTGACGCCTTTTCTGTCAATTACCCAAAAGCTCCGGGTGCGACGAGATGGCGGCGTAATAAGCAACGAGTCGTTTTTGCGTGCACCGTCGGAGTGTGTGTGTGTGATCGTGTTCAAAAAGGAGCCCGAGTGTACGTGTAACGTACTTTTGTGGCAAAAAAAAGGTTTAACGGAGAGGGAAGGAGAAAGTGAGGGAGGGGAGGTGAGGGGAGGGGGGTGGGGGGGGTTGCCACCATTCTGTGGATTTCTTCGAGAAGTGTCTGGTGTGCGCTCACTAAGCAGGACCCGGGGACATGAAACTGCCAGTCCATCACTCTCACACAGACACCCCCACACACACAGGCGCTTGCGGCGACGCGCACACACGCACCGAAGCCGCACACACAGCAAAGAGTCCGCCTCGAATGTAATGAATTAGTCTTTCTAGCCCAATAGAGAGTCCATCATAAATCCGCTCTGGTTAAGGCGCATCCAGCGGAGTTGCGCAAAAGCGCGTCTCCACGTCGAGTGACCGTTCGAAGCCAGTAATCTGCGTTATTATGCTGGAATATTTTCCCCAAAAAATGCTGCAACAACAAATGCGATTTTGTATTTGATTGTGAAATGAACGCGTCCGCGTAAAACACAGCCGAATTCATGCGTTTTTCGCTAACTTGGAACACGCGTTGCGCAGATGCAACCAGCAAATGAAAGAAATACCTTGTTGTAGCAATCCGAGTTAACTTACCCGATTTATCCATAATAGCAGCGCGAAGCAGTACGTGTTGTCTATATTCCCACCGAGCCCCGACGCGCCACATAAAGCCAGCCAACAATGCGCGGTCTTCTTATTTCTTACGAGAGACGATCGTGGTGAGGTGTCACTTCTGCGCTTCTTCCACGGCGAAAACACGCGGCGTCTGCGTGAGCGCGCACACGAAAGACGGCGAAAGTCCAGCAGCAGGTTGGCGAGGCTGGAGTGCGTGGGGAGAGATTCCCGTGTTCCGTGTGCCCTTCCCTTCCCTTCCCTAACCCGTCGAAGCAGCTGCTAGCGGCGCATCTCTCCCCTCGATCAAGTGTCAGGCGGACCACATAGATGCGCCGCCGTCTCCACAGCAGTCATTAATATCAGAACAAACCCCGACTCTCCAGAGGACGGCCAATAGCGTCAGAGAAGCGGGCGATGTTGCTCGCAGCATCCCTGCTCTGGTTGGCTGAGGGGAGCCGTCAGTCATATCCCAGAAGCCCGTTCTCTTCCATGTCTTCTTCTGCTGGAGGTGAAGCACGCTGCAAAAAATGTCCGTTCTAACAAGTGACTAATTCAGTTCGTGAGTTGCAGAGTGCTGGAAATAAATGATTAAACGTTGTTAAATGGTTGCGTTTTTAATTGGCTAATGGAAATATGTACAGCACAGTTCATCTTACACATGCACAGTGTCAGTATCTGGTATTATTTCTGACCTCACAAATGTTTAACTGGAGGCCTTCAAAAGATATGCAATATATTTGATAATGATCATGTCCTACATTTTTCCTCACCATCCACTGTGGCTAGTGTTTGTTTTTTTAAGTTACTAGCCACTCAGCCATTTCTATAGCCACAATTTTGTTGTTGGGAAATTACTTTTAATTTGGTTAAAGTTGACCATAGTTTGCTACAATTTACTTGAATAACTAGATTTACAATCCTTTTAAATGTAAATGAACATTGTAAATATGTTCAGTTGCCAAATCTTCAGCTCGTTTTGTATGAAAATATGCAGTTGGTTAAGACAAGAAGAGTAGGTAATTGCACATAACTGGTGCAGGAGTGTAAAGCTCTGCCACCTTCATGAGGACCAGGGACCTTACTAAAACACTTTATTGTAGCCAACAAGCCGTCCGGTTTGGTCGCAATGCTTTTGACCTGGCCAACGGAAATTTCATGGACCTTATATTTTATTTTATTTTTTTACTTTTTACATTGCTTGTCCCAACTACAAAAGAGACCCCCTTAACCTTTTCACCACGTCCTACAATCAGTGCAGTATACACTATTTTCTTTGCTGGGTCACAAACCAGCCCTTTTCGACTCAAACACTTTTCGTTAAACAGTCTTTGCTTTTTTTTGTCGTCGTCTCAGTCTCATTTTCAGTTTCATCATTTGTGTCTGCCCTCCGGGTTTTCCTATCTGCTATGTGCAGCCACATCCTTGCCTTGCACTGAGCAGGTCTCCCTCAAGTTTTATCAAAACTTTGTTGCTTAGTAACAAACGCACGTTGCCTGAGACGGTTTAACACAGTCTCCTCAAAATGTGGCGTGTGAACTGGTTGGAATGCCTTCTGTGTTTACATGCGTTTTGAGAAAACTACTACAACTGACTGAGCAGGCAGGTCGACGTGGACGTCTCTGCTGGCCGACACCCTTAAGCCTAGTTTATGCTTCTGCGTGTCCCTTGCGTCGCTTTTCACACCTCCTTGCGTCCTTGCGTGTGTCGAGACATTTTTCTAGGCTTGCATCGACGCAAGAAACGCAAGCCTCCCGCACCATGCTGCGATTGGTCCGCTAACTACATCCTTTACGGAGTCTCACATTTCCGCTTTCATAGCCCGATACCGCCATTATTAAAACGAAGAATGTTTACGAGAGAACGGAGCAGATTTAAGAACTTTTGTCGGAAGAAATGCGCAAATATGACCGCTTATACAAGCCGTCATTGGCAGGTTGTAGAAGCGGTTGAATGTCCCTGATGAAAAGCTGCAGTGGCGATGCACGGGGCAATAAAGTCTATGATAAATAAATAAACAAATAGACGTGACTCTCTAGGTCGTCTTCAACAAAACACGTTACTCCGCCTGTTGTTCTGGCGGTGAATTGCTCTGCAACACACGCAGAACCATGAATTTAAACGAGTGCGTCGACGCAACGACGCAGACGCAAACGCTGAAGCATGCGCCGGCCTTTAGCTGTTAAACGGGTCTTCATCTCCAAGCCACATCTTGAAGGGACAGCTGGGCTAAACTAAGGAAGTGCACTCTCACGTTGTCGCGGTACGTAGCACAACAACCACCGCTGCCACCAATGTGACCGAGCGCTCTGGGTTTGTGGATGGTGCACTTATGATACAGTAATAACCGCCACCAACCCTCAACCCCCCAGGGTGGGAACCCCTTTTGCCTCCACGGCAACACTGAAGTGACACGCTATCTCAAATGCAAAACTCAGACTTGTCCCTTACACTACAATAAAAACATGAGAGAGAGATATATAGAATTCCACCCGCCAAAGTGTCTAGTGAGGGAGACCGCTTTTCCCGCCGCAGCAGAATTCTACCTGCCTAATGCCCTGATCATACTACCCTCAAGCCCAAGACCAGCGGTGGAAAAAAGTATTTAGATTCTTCAGAATTCTAACTTTACTGTTTACTGCAGTTTGTCAAAGTGGAGCTCAATTAAACTGTTTATGAATTTTAAATAATGTAATATTCCCTCTGGCTACTTTTGTATAGCTGTCAAAAAGAAGCAGTAGTAACCAGTAAAATATTTCTAACTTCAAAAATATAAACAACATAGGAACATAAAATGGAAATAGTCAAATATAAAGAGTTAAGTCTCAGAAATGTACATGTGGGTAAATTACACAGAACTAAAATTACAGATTCTGATGATAAAAGATTAAATTGACCATTACAAAAGGCCATCGGGGCTAATTCTGTATTCACTAAGTGAACATCTGTTACTGTTTCTGTATTTCCCAGTATACCAGAGTGGTGAGGTTTGGTGTCTGTTGCGACTGATGGCGCATGGCTTAAGCGCTCCACGGGAACCCGCCATAGCTAAGATGTGTCCAAGAAATGTTTGCTCCAGATAAAAAAGTGGTGTTCAATGAGTCGAAATAAAGCCCAGGAAAAAGACATATGCAATCTTTGTGGAATTACTCTCGCTGCCAGAGGAGGGACACCAAAGTTGTAGCTTTGAACATTATGATCACATATGGTGCTATGGATTGCCACACCTTCCTGGCTCATCCGCTAAACGCTTCAGCACAAGAGCGCTGCGGAATTCATCGCAAACTGTGCCCGCAGCTCTGACGAGCACATTCCAGATGGACACTTTTTGCAGTGCAGAGGGAATGAGGAAGAGGACGCAGGCTGGAAAGAAAATGGATATCTGTACCTATTAGCTCCAGAGCTCCCGACTCGTTCCCGGGAGGATTTCTAACACAATGTTCTACAAACCCGATGTTCCGCGGAGGTCGGGCCGGGTTATCCGCCGCTTCAGAGAAAGAGACGTACCTCAGCTGACAGCCCAATGGGGTTCTGATCCACGGTTGTACTACCTGAGGCTGCCAGGCTGGGTAGAGGGCTTAATATATACAGCGGTACCGTACATCATGGTGTTCTTTAATCCACGTGGTGTCTTTAACATTCCTGTAAAGCTTAAGGGAGGTCTGAGGGTTGTGCCTGGTCAGTATCCCTATAAATTCCCCTTTCAATCTCCAGTAGAATTATTAGTTCTAATGTAAATTGCACAAAATAATTCATTTTGAGTTTTTAAGTTTTCTCCTAAATGTACGACCTTTATGATTAAACATAATGCCATGAGACCGCTTAGGCAGTTTGATGTAGAGGATTTAGCCACACCCCAGGTGCTGCACACTCACACTGAAGTATTTATGTGATTTTTTTCACATTTATTTTGGCTCATTTTGCATTTTACATTTTGGCGTTGCCTATTGATTTCAAACCACCCTCTGCCGTTGATAATGGAAGAGATGCCTTTGCAAAAGACACCAGCTTCTTATTGTTATTACAAAAGTAAAACCAGCCAGCTGTTTAATTCAGTTCAGATAATATAATGGAGAGAAGCTGTTGTTTGTATGTTCTCATCTACATCATATTTTGTTCACTGATGTGGTCAAATTTAATGAGTGGGCCTCGTCTGGTTGACAGGTAATGGAACAGGAGGGTGTTATTTGGCTCAATAATGAAGCCAACTTTAGCTGAAATTCATTCAATTTTATAGTTCTGCCCGTCTACCAGCTTCTCTAACAGGATGACAGGTTAACCTAGCCTATTTATAGGTTTCATCAGCATGGGCTTTAAATACAGACAAAAAACACATTCACACAGAAATTACAGTGAATCCAGATTCAAAAATTCACCTTTTATTTATATATGTAACAAGTATGTAACAAATACACACTTGACCCATTACCAAACGAGACATCCTGTACTTGTTTAATTATCCAGTTGGATAATTATTCCTAATTTTAGTTTTAAACCTGCTTGCATTTTACTGCTGCAAGTTTTTGTGTTACCTTCGTTTCTTCTATCCAAAAACTTAAAAGTGAAGACACATTAATGCATATTATAAAAGACCTGGACATTGCTTAATTTTGTGGAAGTGTGAAATATGGTTCCTGAGAGAGACATGGAAAAACACTCAAACCTGTGGACTGTCTGCATTTAACCTTCTGCACAGGTCGACACGACAATCCTGTCGTACACACGATTCTACAGCGCTTGAAAGATAAGCTCTGAATATTTAACGCTCCTCGGTCTTGTTTGTTGTTCTCAAAAAAACAGAGTTTAGCCCTACGAGGATATATAATGACACATACACGGTTATAATACAATCATATTAAAATTCAAATTTTTTTCCAGACACAAAAACTTTGAAAGCGACCTACTTATTTTTAGATATTCAGGATGATGACAGGGATGGCACTACACCCAGAGCTGATTCTGCATTTTTCTTTTAAACCTTTGCTGTATAAATTGACCGTGATGACTTCACACCTCGTGAAGCCAGTCATGGGTGCGCTCAGTGCCTCGTAAAACCCCTCCAACACCGCTCGGCAGTGTTGAGGCGGAGTGAGGAATTTGCATGGACAGAAAAACAGGATATCACCGCGCCGTGAAAAATCTGCATCACATTTGATGCAACAAAACAGTGTTTTGGAGGGGAGGAAGGTCCCTGTGAAAAGGCATGAGGTGTTTACAGAGAGAGTTATTTTCTTGCACATTCTTGTTTATTGCGAGCTTCGGGGAATATTCTGAAGGCGTTTCACTGTGACATTGTGTGCTGTGCTCTGCGGGGGGAGAAAGGGCTGCAGAGGGCAGTATAATTTATTGACTGAAT